CCGCAATGTTCGGTTCAGTCTCTCCGCGACCCCGTTCTGCTGTGGTGTTGACCTGACTGTCCAGTGTCGAACAATGCCCTCTTGATCACAGAACTTCTTGAAAGCACCATCTGTATACTCTGTACCGTTGTCAGATCTCAGTGCCTTCAATTTCTTGCCCGTTCTGTTCTCAACCATTGCTTTCCACTTCTTGAATGTCTCGAATACCTCATTCTTATGCTTAAGAAAATAAATCCAAGCATACCTAGAATAATCGTCTATGAACGAGACAAAATACCTGGAACCACCCTTGGAAGTTGTCTGAGCCGGACCCCAAACATCCGTGTGCACATAATCTAGTATACCTCTGCTCTTGTGATTGCTTTTCAAGAATTGGACCCTGTGCGCCTTTCCGTACACACAATCCTCGTAAAAATCCATGCAAGGTTTCTTCAGATTCTTTAGCAAACCCTCCTTACCAAGCAGAACCAGACCCTTCTCTGACATGTGCCCAAGCTGCCTATGCCATAATCGGGTGTGCTCACATGGGTCTCCACCACTTCCTTCAGTTCCAACCGCTGCATCTCCTGTCACCGTCGTACCCGAGAGAGTATATAGATTACCGTGACGAACACCCTTCATCACTGTTAGGGAACCTCGAACAACCTTCTTTACTCCGTTCTCTGTAACAATCTTGCAGCAATACGGTTCCACCATCAATGCTTCTATAGGTAGTAAACCACTTCCTATTTGGGCACATGTGGTAAGAGCAGCCCGAATCAAGTATCCACTTACCGGAGATATCTTCGCCACCCGTAACAGCATATCATTCTTTCTTGCTCCCTTCCTCCGATGCGTAACTCGCCTCTTCCTTGCCTTCTCTTCTCTTGGTCTTGTTGTTGTTCTTTTTCCCATCTACTCTCTTGTTAGGACAGTCAACCTTGAAATGCCCTACTTCACCGCATTTGAATCATCTGCTAGAAGCGCCGTTCTAGTCTCATCCATCGTCAAATTGTCTCCCACAAGCATCAGTGTTTGCACCAGGTTCTCATAAGACTTCGGCAAAGATAGAAGTAGTAGAAGAGTCTGATCCTCGTCTTCTACAGTCACATCGATGTCCTTCAAATCCGATATTATCCTATCGAACTTGTTGATGTATTCCCGGAGTGATGAGCCCTCCTCCATATTGTAAGTATACAATTTGGATTTTAAATAGATCCGGTTCGTTAGACTCTTCGTCATGAATGTGGTTTCTAACTTCGACCACACGCCCGCAACCGTTTCCTCTCCATCTACCAAGAAAGCTACATCCCTTTCAAGGCAAAGGATAATCGACGCCCGTGCTTCCAGATCCAGCTCCTCCCAATCCTCATCAAACATATCCTTGTGCTTCTTCTCTTTTCCCGCCAAAGCTTTGTGCAATTTCTGCGAAATCAACGTGTTCTTCATCTGCATCCTCCAATAGGAAAAATTATTCTTCCCATTGAATTTTTCAATCTCGTATTTTCCCACTTTAACTGTTTTATTTGTTGACGCCATTTTCCGCTTGTATTAATGAATCCGCTTTTCTCAGGAAATTACCGAGCACCACCTCAAATCAGAAGCTACACCACTCCTAATCTGAATAACAGCTCTGATAACAATTGTTGGGCGCAGAGTCACGCCCACCACCGCGGAAGCGATATCACCTGAGAGAAAGCCCTGGCTTTTGTTGTCCCAAAAGCACAAGTCAACCTCTATATTCTTGTTTCTCAAGGAAAACGAGAATAGATAATGAAATTCTTATTTCTCAAAGGAAACAAGAATTGAAAGTGATATATTTCATCAAAGTGAAATATACACTCTTCCTCTCATCAGCTCTAAGACCGAATATTGCGGGAACCTACAAGCAATAGCCAACACCCAGAAAACAATAAATACACGAGATTTACGTGGTTCGGCAAAATTGCCTACGTCCACGGGAGGGGTGAGGGGAGATTCCACTATGAGAAGAACACCGACGACTTGTACAATCCACAAGCTCGTCTCAAAGAAAAGAGATCTGATTTTTACCCAAAAGAAATTAACCTCCCTTTTGTAAAATCCCTCAAAAACTCTCTCCTTTTATCTCTCCTCTTCTCAGATCCGAAAAAAAAAACTTCAGCCGAACTCCTCCTTTTTTCTTTTTCTTCTTCCGCAGCTTTCCCTTGCTGCCGAAAATAAGACCCTGTCCTTTTGTTCCCTCAACACACAAAACCCTAGGTGCTTTCCTATTTATAGGGATTTGATTGTGGGCCTGCTTTTACCCGCTGGACGCTCCTGCCTTTTCTCAACTCACATGGAAACTCGTGGCCCCCACTCACGTGAAAAACTTCCGCTCATACAAATCCTATGAGTATTGGAGAAGGATCAAAAGTCAAGGACTCATCTACAATTTTGGAACTGAATGGAGATTCCAATCTACCATTTTGGAACTGAATGACGAGTCGAATCACCAGATCTGGATCATGAATGGATGGGATAGGTTCAGGTGACTAACTGAAATAAACAGCCATTTATTTTACATCATTTCATAGTCGAATCATCAGATCTGGATCATGAATGGATGGGATCGATTCAGGTAACTAATAGTAATAAACCCCATTTATTTTACATCATTTTGCAGAAGGTTTTCTGCTTTGATGATATTTAGGCTGCCCATCTAGATTTTACGAGCGTTTAGGAGAGCATTGTCTGCTTACGTGGATTGCGCCCTGTAGGCATTGGTTGTGATGTGTTGTAGCATACAAGTCCTCCAAACTCCATTAACCTCCAAATATGAACACCTCCACTACCTCCTCCGACCTTCAGCAAAACCTCATCGACCACCACTTAAATGAAAAAAGAAATCCGCCTAGACACCAGTCCGTCATCTAAGCTTTCTATAACATTGACATTCACTATCAATTATTGTAATTAAAAATAAAAAACATCTTAGGCTCTAGCATTGTTAATTATTATTTTGGCTATTTAGTATCTAAGTATGCATGATTTATTGTGGAACTAAGATTGCTATCTTTTTTTAAAAATTTATATGAATTTAATACATATTTTTACCAATTATTATAATTAAATAATTTAAAAATAATCAAACGTCTGGGCGCATGCCCAGGGGTCTAGGCGCTAGGCGCTCGCTCAAACGTCTAGTCTGCCTAGCGCCTTCTGTAACATTGTCGAGCTCCCCCGATCTCTGTAACTACTAACAAGATAAAGAGTACTTCTTAAATATCTATTTAAGTTAGTTAACAATAGTAACTTAAACTTAAGAAGTGTAAGTTAATAGTAAACTTAAGTTTAAGTTTAAGTTTTAAGTTAATATTAAGTTTTTTGTTAATGGTAAACTTAAGTTTAAGTAAACAGTAAACTTAAGTTAACAATATTTTAGTTAACAGTAAACTTAAGTTTAAGTTTATTGTTAACATAAACTTAACAATAACTTATAAGTTAGCAGTAATTTGAGTTGAGAATGAGTTTTTTACTGTTGAGATGAACTTATAATTTAAGTTGAGAAGTATATACATACAAAGAGCTATTGTAATTGGTAAACCAAACAGTTTAGTTAATAGTGTTGGTATTTTAGTATTTATGCATCTTTGATTGAGTATATATATATATTTATCTTCAAGTATCACAATTAAAAAAAAAGAAAAAAAACGTCCAGAAACCGCTTAGGCGTCCGCCTAGGCGATTAAGCGCTGGGCACCATGTCTGACGTCTAGAAGCGCCTAACGTTTAATATAATATTGATACAAGCAAACACATTCACGCGCCCAGGCACTTAAACTGGCAACTTGTTATGTCAGAATGGAACTTAGAAGAAAGTAAGAAGGTACATGGTCCACACATAAATATCCAAGTTGATTATTGCATTAGATCAGAAATGTGGCTATTTTTTATTTTCCTTTTCCTTCCATATTTGGAATCTTCTTAGGTTATTTGCATGAATAGCAACTTCTCCCGAGAAATTAAATATATGGCACTTGTTTCTAGTATTAAGGATCATTTCTGAATTTGAGAATACTTGAGTTACTGTGAGGTCAATTTAATTTATCCATTCATGCAGTATGGCTAAGATCCACTGACTTCCACATAGTCAGACTAATTTACTTGAAATATTTCACAAACATTTCATTTTGATGATTGGTTGAATCTTTCTTGTTTGGATTTGGTTCATCATGCGTTGGATGTTGGCCTATGATCTGTTAATCATGGTGCAAACTTTAGTTACAGACTTTTTTTTGGGCATACCTTGGTTCTTCCATACAGAAAGCATCTCAGTTATTTCTTTTCCTTTTCCCTTTCGTTATGTACACCAGGGATTTAACAAGGAATCAGCAAGAAGAACCATAATCAAAACTACCCCCAATAATCATTATTTAGCAAAAAGGTTATTTTTGCTAATTATTTTTTAAAAATGGACTTTTTTAAAAAATTCTCCTTAGAGAAACATCATGTGACATGACACATGGGAATAGCCCAAGAATCTGCTAATGGTTTACCAACATAGCGCACCACCAACGTGCAACCTTTTAAAACTCTGGGGCATTTATTTATGACACTCAAAAACTTTTGGGGTATTTGAATGCATGAGTTTAAAATAGAGGGCATTAAAGTGCAATTTTCTTGACTCGTCAATTTTGGACATGCAAGTAGACCAAAGGTGAATGGATAAAATATTTTTTCTAAAATTTAAAAATTTATAGCAAGAATGATACTACTTCATAAGCTTACCACCTAGATAGCCTAGGCTTTATATTGAAACAGAACGAAATAGAATATGCTTTTAAGATGTATCCATAAAGTATCACCTTGTCGAAGTAATCAAAATTCTAACTCCGAAGAAACTAAATAAAGCACACCTTAGATAAACATCTGATTGACTGCGCTAAATGTACCCAAGAACTGTCCCAAGGAAATGTGGGGCTCTCATACATTTGCATCGGCAAGCGTTTTTATTTGCAGAGATTAGTTGAGCGAAATTATAACTTCCTCGTGTCCGCAAATGGCAAAACCAATATGTAGTTCCGCTGACCTGGCAATCGATAATCTTTACAGCATAGTATAAATGGTAGTCAAAATCAAGATCATGGAACTAGGAGCTGTAACATTACATGGAGTCACCAATGGCACACAACAAAAATTACAAGGTCATTTTACAAGTAAATACGCCAATCAAACTTGAGTAAGCACAACGTAATTCTATAGCATGTTCCTTCATTGGAGAACTCATACCTCCCCAGGCTCTTCAGAGTATGAACATGCATCTCGATACGAGAAAAGTCCAAACTAATTCATCAATGGGTACTTTTAAGTTAACCTCGTTCAATATTCTCCTTTCCCCTCTACTTATATGGCATGACTGTGAGATACACTATGATAACCCCATCCTGCTTCCTTCTGGTTGACGCCATATTTCTTTTCTTGTAGCCTTTAGCCTCAAGCCTCTTGAAATCATGCTTTGTTGCACCTCCTAGATAGTATTCTCCATACAATGTGAGCGCATTAACTACTTCCTGCTTTTGACTTACCTGCGAATAAAAATTCTAAAAAAATTACCTAAACTGTGACAAGGAGCAGAATATAATTGATTCTCTTGCATAAGAAAAGGGATACTGAACGTATAAGTTGTACAAGTCGTACGATGATAAAAGAGTGGAAAAAAATCATTGTTGCTTAGATCTTTGTTGCCGAGTGTATTCCCACAAAGCAATGGCACCACTGACGTGAACATTGAGTGATCTTATAATCCCCAACTGAGGGATCTCAATACAAGCATCCAAAATATGGATGATGTCCACAGGAATACCTTCCTTTTCTCGTCCCAGGACCAATACCTGATAATACATGCATCAGGATGTGCTACGTTCAAAATTTGGGTTAATTGCAGATATACCCCCTATACTATTGCCTAATTGCAGATAAACCACATGAATGAAATTTTAAACTTTCACCCTCAGACAGAGAAAATCACTTTTTAACTAATAGATCTCCTGGGGGTAAAAGAGCCAAAAAAAATTCACTCAGGGGGTTCATCGCGGCAATTGATTAATACTACAGGGTTCTATCCGTAACAATAGACATACAGGGGGTCTATACACAATTGGGCTATAGTACTGGGGGTCAATCCACAATTAACCCCAATTTTTTTTTAAACTAAGCAAAAGTGCTAGATCAGAAAGGCGAACCGTTTTAACTGGAAAGGAAAATTTGTCCAGTGGCGTGCTATTAGCAGTCTGCTCCAAACCTAAGATAGAGAACCCCTCTCGCCTTTTCTTCTCTAAGAAAATTTTCATGCCGTTTACTGGAACTTCTAAGATTGGTACCCACTTATCAGCTGTGACACTGAAACAAAATAAAAAATCAATCACGATACTCGGAAGCATAATGCTCATATTAGCCTGAAACTAAAGATCTTGACAATTGAGTTACATGGACTGAGACATTCAGAGACTAAATCCCAATGGTACAACTGGATATGGATCAGATAAATGGAATGTTTGTGCATAGTATTAAGTACTAGTATGGAGAAGAATATTTGCAGAAAGGAAAGCTATTATCCATATTTCATAGAGAGTACGTACATAGATTGCATATAAACAATGACCTATCTGATACAGATGGACATAGATGCCATTAGTGTTGAAAATGACATATCAGGTAAAACTGATATGAATAAAAAACTTATAAAACTGATGGGTTAGGAATCTCCTCGATGTCATTGTTTTTACCATAAGCAATAAACTTAATCTTTTGGGCAAAGCGGTTTTTAAAATGACATTGGGATAATGGATTTCAGGAGATTTGAGTTCAAACCTCACTAAATCCAATTAACCCATAGTTATTCAACGGACCTAATTTAGTTTTCCTTCCAAACCAAGTCTACAATAGAGGCCTTTTCAACTGGCCCAAAGTCACGCATCAGTCAAAAGTAGCACTGCATTTGCTTGATACATATCGTAGGATCACAGAAAAGAATTTTAAACTTTTGGTTAAAGCGGTACTATGATGAGCAAATCTGATTATGCACCATATATAACGATAGCAGGTCTTGTAACGGCATTGGGTTACACAAACCATGTATTTTTTATGGGTTTCAGTGGTGGCCTGATAAGTAATGAGTGGTCTAAGTAATAACTACATAAGGACCAAATCTAAGCTTCTATTTGGCAAAAAATGCAGATTTCACACGTCCAATTAAATACCAAAGCAATAGTTGAATCAGAAAGATAGGGAGAACTAACAACTGAATTTAATTTCATGCAAATGCAAGATGGATTTTCTTTGAATAATCCAACTCTGCTGCCTTCTTTATCAAGTCATAATTTCAAACCAAGATGGTACATGTAAAAGTTAAAAGACAAGAATTACAAACTTTCAGAGAAGATAGAGACATACTGTAGTGAGTTGGTTCACAAGATAACTAAATAACTTCTGCACAACCCTTGATGTAACATAGTTTTTTCTGACGGGACATTTTATATCTGAGACTGACAAAATAGTATTGAACTGCCTTCTACAGATGGATGCATGAGTCATTTTCCCATGATTAGTATAACATCCTTTGCTGAAAGTTCTGATCCGTTTCACTATGACAGTATTATTTTCTTTAAGAAGCCAGGTGTCCCACGAAAAAAATTGTTTTAAGGAAAAGGTAGAAATTTGAAGCAATCTACATTAAACCATCACCTATTAATCTTAATAGGATTTAGAATGCTTCAAAAACTTTTACGAATTACTAAAGCTCTGTAATGTGCTGACAGATGTAAATGTGCAAAGCAAAAGTAGATAATAGATAACAAGGTAAAATTCAAAATGTACTTATTAGACTCAACCTGATGAGTTGAAATTGTTTATCCTGTACAATACTTGCATTAGGAACAACCAGCCCTGCTGCTTTGAATACCTGTAGGTGAATTACCATCACAAACATGGTTTGAAGGCTGTCTCAGACTCCTAAATCAATCATTCAATAGATATGACAAACCTCACATGTTCTTGCTAAACCAGCTAAATTAGGTATTCGATCAACCAACGATGCTACAAGGATAAATTGTTGTTGACTTTGTCTCAATTTTTCCATAGCTTGATTTCTTGATTGCATCACTGGGTTAAGAAGCTGGTCTTCATTTTCCAACTCTGAAACATGATTAAGATAAAGCACTTAATCAGAAACTAGAGGAAATATCGTCAAGTAAACAAACCCTTAGCTGTTATATTTGAGAAACCGAGCAATGGAACATTTCATTGGACATTCAGTTTACACGAGTGGTTAGTAGGACAAAAAACTTGCAGAGAATTTTCCTAGTGAAAGTTATTGAGATGAAACTTTGGACAGCTGCTCAAAAAACTGCAGTAAAGATAATTTAGCTGTCAAAGAGCACCTAGATCTATGTTGGAAGATGAAGGGTGGCTTGTGTTTCACTATTTCTCATGCACACACAAGAAAAATTATGTTCAGCATAATAGACATCTGTGAAAAGAGATATAAATCTAAAAGCATACAGTTGACAATCCCAATAAAAATTAAGGAGTAATGGAAGAAAAAAATAGGAAGTTAACCTTTTAAGAATGCAAATGCCAATAAGGTGGGAAAGGTAAATCATGTACTTCGACATTTTTTTTTTAAATTAACTGGTTGGAGCTTGGTTATTGCCCACAAATGGTGTTGTTTCCTTTGATAGTAATAATATTATCATCTGATCATTCAACTCCTCCTTTCATGGAAACAAGACACCACTTATAAGAGTCCGCAAGCCGTTGACAACTTTTTAACTTAATCTAAACAAGACACTCCCAAAACAGAACCAGCATAACTTTTCCTGTAGTATTTGACTGTTTAAATGTTGCTCCGCATTATTTATCCAAACTCTATGCAAAATCAAATCACATACAGGCACGCAGCCCCCCGCCGACACGCATATACACAGACACAGAGCCAGAAGGTAATATTTGTTCGATGTATTGGTGCTTGAAGGACAGGAATAGCAAACATAAACAAGAACAAAAGGAACTAGGACAGAAGTATGGTCAAACATCAACAAAACACTTACAAGTTCAATCACTTACTCTTGTATTATAGAGTAGCAAAACACTGGTTAAGCATAGATCCTATGGTGCTAGACTGAATGTATAAAGGCAACCGATTTGGGATCTCTGTCCTCTTTTTCTTGCCAATGTAGCTCCACACATTTGACCTCATACATTGAAACACGTCTTACTTCTGTAATATCCTAGCAACATTATTCTTTCTGATATCTTCTTCATCAAATCAAGTCTTCAAGGTGAAAACTCAAAGAAGAATCATATCTCAAAAGTTAAAAGTGAGTTTTATGTTAACTAAGGAATGTCACTATGTACAGCAAGTACAAGATAAGACGTGCAATTTAAGACATTGCTAAAATTAAGCACATATCCGTGAAGTGCCTATAATATAACAGACCATTTAGCTTTCCACCATGGATGACTGTCACTCACCAAGATGAAGGTTGTATACCAAGATTTTTGTCAGATTACCATCTGTAATCATCCCCCCTTCATTTGTCCATCTATGCCGGAGGTTCCTCAATTAAAGCTTTTAAATTCAAGATGGTAAAAGATAAAAGAGCTACACTCTCAGAAAGAAACTTAAGGACTTTGGATAACTGACAGTTTCAAATAGAACAATTTTTCAAAACAGCCTCTTTTAAATTTTTATTTTTCAAAATCGACCCTGTTTTTTTTATTTACCAAAACCGACCCGTTTTTTGATTAGCAGCCTAATCACATTCCTAAATAGTCGGGGTTGCCAACCCCGATTATTTAGGAGGGTGTTAAACCCTAATTAGAAGCCTTAAACCATACAAATTTAAGTCCTAAATAGTCGGGGTTGGCAACCCCGACTATTTAGGAATGTGATTAGGCTGCTAATCAAAAAAACGGGTCGGTTTTGGTAAATAAAAAAAACAGGGTCGATTTTGAAAAATAAAAATTTAAAAGGGACTGTTTTGAAAAATTGTTCTTTCAAATATTATCAGGTCTTTAACTTCTACACTCACATTGAAATACGTAAGTTTAGTTCCAGGATAGACCTGGTGATTATATCTGAACATAAAGGCTGAATCTAGTTAGCGTCTGTTTAAACATTTAAAGTGGAAAATCTCCATTAGGATTTGGCATATGTACTATGATAATGTTAGGATTGTGTGTCCCGCTTCATTTTACATCATGACAAATGTCAGCTACATGAACAGGCAAGTTAACATCTGCAGAATATTCATAATATATGGAGCTTAAGTACAAGCATTATTTATAGAACATAAACATAGAACATTAGACACATAACATAAACATAAGCACATCCTTCATGAGAAATCATACCTGATAGGAAGAAATCTGATTTTGAGTTTGCAGCAGGCAATACATTTTCATAGAGGGTGATCTTTTTTTGAAAATCTAAAGAAAGGTCACTAGGAGTTTGGAGAGATCCTCTCTCATTATGTGCATCCACTACTTCTAGCATGTTCTTATATGAACCTGGACCTGTTAAAATCTCATTTTCAATGGTTATCGCATCCATCGCAATGGAATTTCTCAGGTCGTCCCTAACATCCTGCATTGCTAATAGTGAGTGTTTGACTATATTGACAAAAATATAGGCAAAAAATATAGTTCTTACATCTAGAAAAGTAATCACATTCTCCATCAGAGAAATTGGGGCGCATTCAAATTCAGATCCCTGTATGAGCAAAATTGTAGGCTGAGTTCCTTTTCATGACAAGATTAGTTGCAAATAATGAGAGGAAAAATGATAGTGATTAGCAAAGTCCTGAATATCCTACTAGTAGCATAATAGAATCACAGAGAAATCAGAACTTTGAAACTTTTTAACCTCATTGCGAGCATGGAATATCCCAGCTGGAGTTACAGAGGTATTGGGATCAAAAGCATCAAGAAAACTTTCCATCGATGTCCTTAGCCTGAAATAGAACCAAAAGATGATAATATAAAAATTTGGAAGTAGCGAAATTATAATACTGAAATAGAACTTTCAAAGCTCCTTACTGCATTTTAACTTTAGATATCACGCAGAGTCTGCATAAGAGTGAGGAACTCACATGCGGAATTAATTTAATGATATCCTTGACTCCCATGAAATTCACCAATGTTACATAATATAACAGAGACTGAAATTAAAGTTTGAACTATAATACTTTATATAGAATTGACATATACATTAATACATCAATGTTAAAGTCATCCTTTCCCTTAGCCACACTCTCACTCTCTGCCCTCTATGATATCTATCAACGCAATAGATATTTTTCAGCAAAAGAAATGCGTAGGCATATATTATTAGGGAGGACATCAACTATAAAGAGGGATGGTAGGCTGGAAGAAAGGAAAAGGATGACATAGGAGGGAAACTCTAAAAAGGAGAAAAGAACTTTCCTGTAAGGGAGAATTGTTTACTACAGAAATTAACTATTCTGCATACAAGCTTCCATGGACCACTATTGACCTTCATGATCCATGAACTCAAGTTGTTTATGCCTACAACATTATACCTCTTCAGATTAATATGAAAACTCTCCTACAGAATACAGATAGAGATACTAGAGTTCGCAATGTTCTCCAAAGGGTTATAACATGTGCCAAGTTTTCATCCACTACTTTTTATAAATGCCTTTTCATCTAATTTTCTTACTGCTTTTCAATAATTATACACTGTTTCTTACACTTAAATCCTTAAGCCTTTAAAAAGATATAAAAGGATGGTCAACCATAATTCCTAAGCTAAATCTAGCCATGCAAAAGAACTTTCTTCCTTCATGTTCCACAAAGTTTACATAAAAAATAATGACACTACTGCAAGTATGCTTTCTTTATACCTTAACATTTTTTTATTGAAAGAACAATATAGGAGACGATTTATATAATTTTAATTTTATTTATATTTTTTAGAAAAATTGGCCTTGATTTATTCTTATATCTCACCTTTATTTGTGTCTTTAGACAAGGCTAAGCTTGAGATTTATTTGGTTCAATAGTCCATCAGTAAGGTAGAGGCTTTCTATGTATTGTTAAAGGTCCCTTCCACTGTTAGGGAATCATTATGCTAATTGACAAAACCATGCAGTTCCAAATGTATGTAAATGAAAAATAAAGAACTCGACAAGCAAAGAAACAGGAAAATGAAAATAGAGTCTAGAGACACTAGACTTTTAACAAGGTTCACCCCAAACTTTTGTGAGTGCTAGTGGGAAGTGTCTTTAAGATTCCATTGTGTGAGTGCTTACTATACTTGTACTTTAGTACAACTGTACAAGTCTTGTTCTTATATTAATAAAAGTTCAGTTTTGGGCTTTCACCATCACTTGATATCCAACAAAGAAGAGACAGACAAAAAGCAAGTTTCTAGTGAGGACAAGAGCTAGTTTTAAAAGGAAATAAAATCATACCTCCTACAGTCAACATTTTCTGTCAAATAGGACTTCAAGTCCTCAAAGCACTTCTTCTCCAATGGAGCAACATTTGAAGTATCTGGTTCTAAAGCAGGCCACATTTTGCAGAGGACATAATGTACAAGCAACTGTAAGAAAGACAGTGACAGGTCCATTTAGTCAATTATGCATACTAATATAAATAAAAAAATATGCAGAAGTTAACTATCCAAAGTATGCCTACCTGAGTAAAGCCGCGTAAACTGTGATGGTGGGAGGTCAAGAATGGAATTATTGGAGGAAGCAACTTGTTTAAATGCCTAATCTGAAGGGCTAAGTCATCCGCATGGAGGATCACATTGGTTGCAATAAACACGTATGAAGAAAGAGCCTGCAAAATAGATGTATGAATTTTCCCCGGATCGATACTAAGAGGAAGCATGGCAAATAAGTTTACTCAATAGTCACCTGTGGCCTCATATTATAGTCGTAAAATATTGGAATTAATTGCTCTTCAGCCTGTAACAGTTATCACCAGAGATTTATCAATCATTTCCGGAGGAAAAACTAAACAAGTAGATCATACAGATATGTGTTTTACTAGATATCTACATGTGTGCAATACACATATACACATATACTACAGTATTATTTAAAATATTTCCAGATTTGTCAATTTAATTGCTAAAACTTGTCCAGAATTTCCTTGGTATCTAAGGTTCTCAAATCTTTTAAATTTTATCTTATCATAAAAGGCATGTACATTTAGAATATTCTGACACCGAGTTTTTAGGATTAGTTTCTGAGAGGTCAAGAGAGAGTTCAACTTTAGGGGTTTTGTTATTACAAAAGGTCATATTGCTTCCTTTAATAAAAGGAGATTGGAAGCCGTTCAAAATCTGCAGATTGTCAATGATTGAAATGTTTAACTCCATTAACTTTTTGTTATCCGAAGGCTGAAGCGATGTTGGATAGGAGCCTAATTAAAGGCATGAAATGTAACCTTGAAGGCATAAAATCTCCTTTCCTGCTTCTTTTAAATTCTATTCTGTTTTTCTTCAAGTACTTTTTCTTTGAATTCCAATCCTGATTCAGACCCTGCCACAGAATCTTTTTGAAATTCTAACCCCCAAATGCCTTCAAAATCGTCATTCCAGAACTGTTTCTTATGACAAGTTTTGCAGCAGTAAGTATTTCATCATATAATATTATTGATTGAATCATTGAACTGAAGTCCGCATTCATGTGTATATGACATGTGCATATAATATGGTAGTAGCTGTAAGTTTAAAGAGAAGCTTATATCTTATCTAATTCATACTACTCTACTTCAACCTCTTATGCTTCCATAAGAAGAACTGGCGGTGCTCCAAATGCACTTTATGAATATCAGGAAAAAATAAACAAGAAAAAGGATATCACATGACTCCTATTTTGTGAACTGTCAAGTAAATAAGAAAGCAGCTTGATGCACAAGGACACACGCAGCCAGATAACTAACAATCAAGTATCAAAATCCATTTATTACAATTATTGTGAAAATCTTTGGGCAGAATTTTTAAGTTTTGACCTTTTAGTAGCATGTATGTTGTATTTGAATGGATAGGGGGAAGGGAGAGGATAAATGAATACAAATGATATGCAAGACAATTTATCATAGAAAGCAAAGGCAGATTTCACTCTTACCAGATTCGGAAATTTCAAGTAGATCTGTATTGCAAATGTTTCCAAATATTGTCGGACAGCTGGTAAATTATTCCTCTGCATGACAAGGAAAAAAACATAAATTTGACTGATTATAGAACACAGATTATTGACACTAAAAGGGCAGTCAAATATTCCCCAAGAACAAGTTCTTAGTTCTTGTTAAGACAGTTTATGACAAAACAAGCAACTAGAAGTCACTCTTTCTGGGCAGTACGTTTTCACCAATCCATGAAATAAGCATGTCTATGCTAAGCACGTCTATGTTGTCATTATACCATCGTTAGTTTCGATGAAAGTGACAAACAGTACATAAGAGTATTACATTTTGTGAGCATGCACCATTTCACATGACACTTTTCTTATTCGGGGATTTGTTCCTTGCACGTGCCAGCTTGTTTATCACTTTTTAATGACATCCTCGAATACTCCAATCAGACCTCCACCAATGTATACTTGTACTCAGATGAAGCAGCAGCATATACAATAATACCGGTGAGGGCCTCATCGCCGGTAACTACGGCCGCCGGGAGCCCACACCGCTTTCTAAGAACCCAGACAACCAGAGAGGAGGCCATGGGTTACGGTCTCTGGATCCAAATCCAGTCATTTGGGTTACAAAGAAAAGACGAAAGGAAAAATGATGATAATGAAAAATTCTATAAAACCCTCTCAAGATTCAGAATTTCACAGAAAGGTCCAAGTGGATTAAAAAGGTTATAAGTATTTGAACAAATTTTACATAGCTCCCTAATATCTGCAGAAGTTTCTAACAAGTCCATAATATTGAAGCATTCACATAGAACTTAAAGTTTTTGTTTAAGCCCTAAACTTATCAAAGACTTTAAATAGGTCCATAGATTCCTAAAGATAATAGGAGATCTATGTGAACTTTTTTTTTATGGGTCATTGCCACTATTTGACCATATTCGGACCTAAAATTATGAGGTGACAAGTAAACTATAGTATAAGGTCTAAGTTGATTGTTATTAACTTTACAATTTTATACTACAGGATTTAGTTGATATCAAAGGGGGATCAAATTTGGAAGACTCTCAGACAGTGTAATCATTTCTCACTAATATTTTTATAATATGAAAATTTCATGAGTTATTTGACTGATCTTGTGCTCGAAAAATAAACAAACTATTATTTTCATGTATATCAAATGTGATTCGATCTATTTTTGTTGTGGCCTAACCCATAATATGATTTTGATTTCATACAAGATATTAAAAGTAATTTGATTTCAAATAAGATATGATAACTGGTTTTGGTTTCGTGTGATCTCAATTAATTGTGGATAGTGCTTTACTTGAAAGCTTTTGAAGAGAGAAAAAAGTAGTTTGAATGTGTTTCAACAGTTTAATGGATTCAAAAAATTTCCATGACTTGGTACCTAAGAAAAAAATAGAGAAAAGTGAAATCCGTAAACTGTTTTAACTGAGATAATGACTTTTATACTCGCCCACTTGATTCAAAAATATTTACCAAATTCTGGTAAGTGATGTGTTTCGGATTTGACAAGTGATTCTCGATATTTTTAAAATGCTCAAAAATCTGCCACAGAGTGTTATGGTTGTGCCTGCCATGTGGTGAATGCACCTTTATTTGGCCCTTCTGTATTTGGTTAGCAACATGTGACAGTGTTAGGTGCATTCAATTACTGGAAATTATCTATTCTGTGAAGCGTTTTACGCATTCCCATGTTACTAGGCTATGATATTCGTAGTGTCACCTATGAGGTGATTCTTGCATTATATGTACGATTCATCGAGATTTAACATTCTGATGTTTGACTGTGTATTTGAGAAAACACGGTATTATATGAACAGCTTATGTGGACAAAAAACCTGAGTGACTTTCTCTAAATAGCATTGCCAGAGTGACGAGAAAACACGGCATACGTTTAGAACTGCAGCGAATTAACAATGTGGATTCATCATATGAAACCGAAGGCGATGAAAGAACATCATCAAGATACTAAATGCAGTGGCTAAATATTTGGTTAACACCATGACTGAAATATTGGTGTAAAGCATACAAATCCATAACATTTTGATGAGCCAGATTCAATACAGAGCTGACACAACATACTATTTAATTATTTAATTATTATAACGCTATCATGTTTAAGAATAAAAGATATACAAAGTACTAAACAAGAATACAATGAGATTCAGACTCCGGATGCCTTTGCAGCATGAAGTAACAAGCAACATACTTACATTTTCCCCCCCCCCCCCAAGAATTACTTTTATAGTAAGAGCTATTCAAACCATTAGTACACATCTCAAAACACCATTAGGGAAAATAAATCAATTTTAAAATGCAAGAGCAAAACAACGATAGTTTGCACCTGCATTTGGAAGGAAAATCATGGGAAATGATATCTACATAGGCTTTGGCTCTTGAAAAAAATTTAGAATATGTTCGGAGACAGATCAATATGTCTTACATACAGCAAATAATTAATCCCTAGGGGGGAAGAGCTAAGCTCGCATTACATAAACCTTGGAGCTCACCTGCACCGATCGCGGAGCTACCGACGTTCGAGGTTTGGCGTTTGGGCGGAGGCTGACGAGGCTGACGAATGTCCGACGGAGCTGCCGACGGGTTGAGTTTTCCGACCGATGCTTGCTTCGACGGAGCTGACGAGGCCGAGATCGCGGAGGAGCTGAAGGTAATTGTCGGAACGAGTTTGGGATCTTTTTGAGGGAGGGCACGATTTGGGGATTTTTGTTAGGGAGGGAACGATTTGGGGAGAAATATCAGGAGCGTGAGTCTCGAAAAATGGAAAAGGGGGAAAACAAAAAGTGATCACATGACAGCAAAACGCATGCGAGTTTTGCAAAAAACCCCCCAAGTCGTAAAATGCGTACGCATTATGCGTATAGGAAACATCCTATATATATATATATATATATATATATGTTATGAATGTAAAAGCATGCAACAATTGCATATATGCTAAAATGTTGATCAATCATTGTAAATATTCTTTAACTTTTTATAGAGGAGCAAACTTAATCTTTCACACAAGTCAATATTTGATAGTTCTTTCCATTAAAACATAACATCTTCAAACAAAGAATGATGAATAAGGAAGTGCATGAAATATTTGAGAAGTTTTGAACATGTGCTTAAACAATGCCCACCGGTGTCCTAACTTAAAACATAGATTATACAAGAGCTTTTTTCATATATTCCTACACATCATTCATATTTGCAATTGTACACTCGAATTTTAATATTTGCAAATTTACCTCCCAAATCTCCAACATTGGATAAATCTAAACC